ATATATATATATATATATATATATATATATATATATATATATATAATGTTATTAAATGATTTATGAGTTTACATAATATGTAAGTGAAAATAGTATGGCCTAATCAGTTTTCAGATTGGTAATTGAAAAATAGCCAGCATTTGCAAAGTCAGTGAAAAATAGCCATTATTTTGCTGCAACACGGAAAGTTCCAGCATAATATATTGAAATTGGTACACCTATGAATGAATTTCCAGCATATTGTGCTGAAAATTCAGCACACAGAAAGTTCCAGCATAATATACTGGAGACTTGACCTGTGTATGAACTTCCAACATGTAAAAAATTTGAACTCCAATATATTATGCTGGAGTATATTCCGGATTTTGAATAGTATTTTCGTTCAAATTTATCTTTACATAAAATATGACTAAATTTTGATCACTTTTTAAAATATGGCTATTTCTTAATCATCACTTATAAATTTGGCTATTTTTGAACTTCTTCCAATATGTAAAGGGGATAAGATCACAAGTGGTAGAAAGTCTTATGTTTAGAAAAATTGTGGCATATGGTCATTCGTTCACTTTAGTTTGAAAATCCCCTAAAAATTTGGGGATCTTTAATTTACACAAATAGTCGGTTATATTTATTATTTTTTTTAATTATATATATAAATTAGCATTAATTATATACACATAATACACAAATTATCCATATATTATACCTTAAACTTCTTACAATCATATTTTAATTTAAACAAATTAACTGAAATTAGAGAAAGTAACTGCTTATTAGTAATATTTCTTGTGACGACTGTAAAATTGATTCTAGAATATTCCCTTTTAAAGAAAAAAAATGAAAATCCTAAACTTCTACTTTGGTACTTTAAAATAAAAGTTAAAATAAAACGACTAGAAATCCCTACGAAAATAACTATAATATTTAATTTATATTTGCTTTTAGAAAATTAATATTACAACCCAAAAAAGAAGAACAAAAGCCATCGTATATGTCGGTAGAGTAAAAGTGTAAAACACAAGAAAGAAAAAATCACTTATTTACTCCAAGGGCAATGTAGGAAAAATATAATTAATTCATTCTTGAAATCTGAAAAAATCACTTATTTTGGACCACAAAAAAAAAAGATCAAAAGATCACTTACTTTGGACCGGAGGGAATAATATATAACATAATAATTTTACTATATTATCCTTATTTATTATATATTAAAAATGAATTGGAAATAAGTACTAGTACTTATAAGAAGAGTAAACTAGGTATAAAACAGTAAATTATCCATTGATTTTTTAAACTAGATAAGTAAAAATCAATATTTATTTTTAGTAAAGTGAATAAGTAAACTTGGACGGACGAAATACTAGTATATATATATATATATATATGTGTGGCATGTTTCTTTATTTTTTTCGGGAGGGGGTCTTTGAAGAAGAGTGTGTGCATTGAATAAAACGTGTTATAGTTAAGGCGGAGCTAGAGTATCGGGAATAGATTTGACCGAATCCAATAGTTGTGATTCAAACTTTATATTTGTTTTAAAAAATTCGTTGAATATTTATAAATTATTAACTAGGATACAGTAACTTAAAAAGATTGAAATTTCGAACTCATAAATTTAAAATCCCGGCTTTGCGTCTGTGCCTAAGTTTATGGGAGTCCCAAGATATTTTGGTATAGTACTTATATGAAGGACATGATTTGCATTATTGCATGTGTAGGAACCAAAAAAGGAAGACGTGGGCCTATGATGTTTGAGTACCACTTAAATTTGTACATATTTTATTCTCCTAACGCTATACTTATTAAAAGTAAAAAAGACGTTGAATTTGTGAAAAGTAGGGCGGCAATTTCAAGCCGAACCCATTCAATTCGTCCAATTTGCCCAGAGATAAATGGGTTGGGTTACAAATATTTTAGTTTATGGGATAATATGGACTGAGCCCAAGTTAACCCATTAATTTTTATAACTCATTCTGACCTATTAAGCAGCCCAAATACAACTCATGAAACTTACCCAAATCAAAGGGATCTCAACCCAACTTATCTAGAAATTTACTTAGTTGCCTAAATTTCACTTATTTTTTTATATTTTTAATTTTCTGCACCATCCACCCACCCCTACTTCCTACCACCACCACCACCACAGGCGCACAAACCCCCTAAAAAAAATTACGTTTTTTTTGTATTTTTATTTTCTGTTTATTTTTGTTTTCCTGCACCACGCATCCTGCCCCCGCTCCCGGGCGCGCAAACCCCCTCTATTTTTATTTTCTGTTTATTTTTGTTTTTCTGCATCACGCACCCTCCCTCCACCCCCCGCACAAACCCCCTCAAAAAAAAAATTTACCTTGTTTTCTGTATTTTTATTTTCTGTTTATTTTTGTTTTTCTGCATCACGCACCCTCCCTCCACCCCCCGCACAAACCCCCTCAAAAAAAAAATTTACCTTGTTTTCTGTATTTTTATTTTCTGCTTTTTTTTTTTTTTTTACCTTTTTTTGTATTTTCGATTTTTTGTTTTTCTTTTTTCGTTTTTCTGCACCACCCACTAACCTCAATTCTCCCGCGCAAATTATTTTTCAACTTACACATTTTAAGGTAAAAGACTTTTTTTTTTGTAAGATGAGCATGGTTCTAAAATATGGGTCAAGTTGGGCGGGTTGGGTTATGATCCATTGTTTAGCCCATCTTGACCCAACCCATCTTAGCCCAAGTACACTTTGAGCTTGATTGGGCAATGACCCATTTATTGATCTAACCCTTCTTGACCCGTTCAAATTCAACCCAACCCGCCCATTTGCCACCCCTATTTTGCGCCACAAAAGTCACAATAAGGCAATCTACTATTATTACCAAAAAAAAAAAACGAAAAAGAAGATTCAAGTAAAAGATTTTTTACAAATTTGTGTAATTTAGCTTAGAAGTTTTAGTTACCATTATTATACTCCCTCCGACTTAATTTATGTGAACTCATTTGACTCGGAGAAAATATCAGTTATTATTACCAAATAATACGAGAAAGAAGAATACACATTGACGATAGTGTAAAAGATCTTTTACAAATCAGTAATTTAACTTATTTAGCAACTTAATTAGTACATCATTTTTATCATATTATCAACTTAATTACTTTTATACATATTTATTTATAATTTTGAGTTAAACATATATACACTGTCACATCACCTTTATCTTTTATAATAAACTTATTTTATTTTCAAGATTACATATCTCACTTCTTATGAAAGTTTACTTTGTAAAATATAGTTTTTATGTCGATGTATATAAGTTAAACTCTATTATAAGTGTCTTGACCATGTATAATAATTTTAACACGATAAGCCAGGGGCGGATTTAGGAGGGCAGAACTCGAACTTTTTTCGCTGAAAAATTACATCGTTTATATAAGACAGAATCCGATTATATTTTGTATTTTAAAACCACTAAATGCATTCCACCCGTCATAATTTCTTTTAGTTTTTTCTTTTTTAACACGTTTAACGAAAATTCTATCTCCGTCACTGTGATCAGAAGAGAGAGAGAGAGTGACTTGCCTGAAGCTCAGTGGTTACAGGGTATTCATCCATGTCAACGTAGTTCTTGTTAATGGAATCCATCATTAACGTATTACATTCTGGCTCCATCCATGTTGTAACGAAAGATGCTAAATTTAGCCTTGGATTTCCATCTAACATAAGCTCATCATTTATAATCTGATATGCTGCTTCCTTTGGTATTGAATTCTCTGGCATTTTAAACCTAAAAATCCAAAAAAACAAAATAAAAAAGTTTAAAAAAAAAAAAAAAAAAAAAGCTCCATTTTCAAGAATATACAATAGAAAATCTTAGGAAAAGAAAACCTAAGTAGGAGTTTGGAAAAAAATTTAAAAAAAAAAAAAAAAAAAAAGCTCCATTTTCAAGAATATACAATAGAAAATCTTAGGAAAAGAAAACCTAAGTAGGAGTTTGGATATAAGAATTGTAAAATTTCAAAAAATGATTGAAAATTTTTTTTAAGTGAAAATGGTATTTGAAATTTAGAATTGTATTTGGACAAAAAATTCAGTTTGGGTAGTTTTTTAAGTTTTGTGAGTGATTTGAGTGAAAATTTTGAAAAACAGTATTTTCTTTGAGTTTTTTAAATTTTCGAAAATTTTCAAAATGCATTTTCAAGTGAAAATTGGAAATTTTATGAACAAACACTCATTTCGAATTTTTTTTTTTTTTTTTTTTTTTTTGGACTGAGATTTATGTCCAAACGCTCATAATGGGTGTGTTTGGTTTACAACAACAATATACACGGTGAAATCCCACAGATAGGATCTGAAGAGCGTATAGTATATACGCAGATCTCATCCTTACCTCGTGAACGTAGAGGAGGTGTTTTCGAAGACTCTCGGCTCAGTAAAAAATGAAAAGAATGTGTTTAGTATGACGGGAGTTATTTTTAAAAAAATATTTTTTCAAAAATAGATTTATTTTCTGAAGAAAAAAAATTAGTGTTTGATGATCGGGTGAAAGATCAATGGTTAATAATTATATAAGCAAATTGATAGTGGTGAAATTTTGAGTATTAAAGATCGATGGTAACGTCGAAATGTTGATCAACACAATGATCTGAAGTTAAAAGTAAGAAAAATGAATTTTCCCTATATTCCTCAAATAATTTTTTTCTCAACAAAAAAATATTAAAAAAAATTCGAAAAATATATAAATTAATCGTAACTTGTTTAAGATTGAGACGTAATATATTTACCTGGGAAGAGAAGTTCGAACATATCGGGAGGCGAAAGTGGAGTGAACGGAGACGTCACTTTCCGACGCTGTCTTGGACAGAACCATGGCGGCGTAGTGGTGGTAGTACGACGGAGAAGATCAGAAATTAAAACAGGAGAGAAAATGAAAATAGGGAGATAATTTTTCTTCCTTTCTTGAAGAAGAAATATTGTATCACTATAAATAAATAATGAAACTTGGAATTATTATGTGGAAGAGCTGGCACGTCTTTATTGAATTTTACTACTTTTGTCACTTTTAACCGTTTATTTATATTTAATAGTCGAAAAAGCATACATAATTTATATAATTTTTGTATATATATATATATTCGGTTATATTTTTTCGGTTATTGTTTTGAAAGAGTCTATACAATATCATTTTTTCTTTTTCCTTTTCGGGCCCAACTAATTTAGTTTTGTGGCAGGAGGTCCCCTTTCGGGATAAAATGTTTTCTACCAAAAGCGAGACCATTTAAATTTCGGATCTAAAACATCTAATTAAGAATCAAGGAATACTTAGTGGACGTTTGGACATAAGAAAATTATAAAATTATGAAAAAAATAATTTCTTTTTTTTAAGTGAAAATGGTATTTGAAAACTAGAGTTCTGTTTGGACATGAAATAATTTTGGATTGTTTTTGTAGTTTTTCGAGTGATATGAGTGGAAATTTTGAAAAACAACTTTTTGAAAAATTCCAAAATTGTTTTTAACTGAAAACCGTAAAATTTATATTCAGACACTAATTTCGTAAAAAAGTGAAAATTTTCTTATGTCCAAACGGGCTCTTATTTAAAAAGTGATTAGACAAAATAAATAAAATAAAAAAGAATAATGATGGTACTTGTTAGTGAGAATTTAATATTTAAAGTCAAGTTTAACATATAAGACGTTTAACTTTATGGTTGTAATAGTTGTAAAGCTGCTGCTAAAATAGAAGTTTTTTATAAATTTAATTTTTTTATTTAACTTACCACTTTTATTTTATATATATTATTATATACAAGTGCTTGTACTTCCAACTTATTATTTTTTAAAACAACTTGCTATTTTTGTTAGAAGGGAACTTACAGCTAATCAAGTTATGTTTGAAAGAATATTTCTTTATGAATAAAATTGCTGCAATACTTTATATAATAATTTTTTAAATTCGCCCTCCCCAAAGTGACACCTATTTTTATTCCATAGATTTTTCTGATATTTATTCTCAGCATAAATTGGTTAATTGTCCACTCTCTTTTTGGTCCATCTCATGATTTTTTTTTTCTTTTTATTAATTATATATATATTAAAGAAGAAATAAATGTGAACTTGACATGTTCTTCTCCAAAGTTTATGCTAATCACTTAATCAAAAATAATTTTTTTTAGAGGAATTGAACTATGTTTTTTTTATTTATTTATTAAGGATTTAATATCTTAAAAGTAATATGATGATTATATTATATTAACCCAAACTGACTTAAGGCCGTGTTTCGTGATAAAAAAAAATATGTTTGAACGCTAATCTAGAAAATTGGTGAAATCATATATGAATATTTAATTTTACACAAATTTCGTATTAAATTTGAAAATAAAAGTTTAAGAATTACAAGTC